TTTTTTTTTTTTTTTTTTTTTTTTTTTTTTTTTTTTTTTTTTTTTTTTTTATAAATTTAAATTTATTTTATTTTGAAAAGGTAAAAACGACGTCGTTGGGATTGGCATTGTCCTTTTCAACTACTCCCTCGACTCTCTGCAAAATTTTTGGCCCCAAGCCCACGTATTCGCTCTCATTCGCCATTTTCGTCTCTCAAATCCCATCTCTTTCTCCATTTCTCTCACGCCGAGCTCTTCGCTCAAAATCTTCAAGACCCAGTTCTTCTTTTCACTCCTCCACCCCTTAAATTCAATCCCTCCATTTCAATTTTCTCCCCTTTCCTCTACTTCTAACCCAATTCCCAACACTATCTCAGCTCAATTACACAATCCCTAGTTTCCATTTCCAACCCTTTTTTTGCAAAATGGATTCCTCTACTTTCTGTGCTTAGTCGAACAAGACCCACCTCTGATTTCACGTTTCTTCCATCCCCTGTTAATCGCAATCTGTGTTGGGGGTGGGATTTGATCTGAATTGATGATTCTTTTCGAAGAGGAAAGTGGTATTTCTTCAAGAATCAAGCAAAATGAAGGGATATGCATGGGTCTGGAGGTGAGAGGTGGAAACAGAGGCGGCACATGTGGCCGGTCCATTCTAATTCGACAGCTGTAGATTGCGAATTATCCGCTCCAGATTTCTTTCTCAAAGTATTGCGAGTCTTACGTTTTTTTTTTTTTCTTTCATAGTTTCGTTTGATTTTCCTTTTGTTCTTTGCATTTACTTTTTAATCGTGTGCCTTCTGTTGTGTTTTTTTGTGTCCCCATGAAGATTTTGATCTTGTTTGTTAGGCATCCTACTCGGCGTAAGATTGTTCTATCGCCGTCCGGAGATTACGTTATGTGAATCCGATATGTTTTTGTTAATTTTATCTCCTCTTTTAAGGTTTTTGAATGAACCCAGAATTGTTTATTCCTTTGGTTGTTTTATCCGCTTTCTGTTTTTCAATTTTTCATTGGTCTCTGGTTTGCCTTCATTTTTAGTTTAATTTCTTGATCTAATCTCTTGAAAGTTGACAAGGGAATCTGCTAGTACCCACAGCTACTTATTTCTTAGTACATAACAAGAATTACGGAGAGTTCTTACTCCTCACTGGTTAGTTATTTGGTTTGGTATAGATGTGTTGCATCTTGGCGATTGAAAAGAGATCAGACCTATTTATCATGGAAGAATCTAAAATGAGGGGGAGGTTACATATTTTGTTGTTTATAAATCCAATTGAATTGCATTAAGATCCCCGATGAAGTATGATGGGAAGCATTTGTGGCAAATGGTTATAGTTTACGAGGATAGGTGGATGCTAAGGCGAGGACTGCTTAAAATTATCTCACCCCATAAGCTCCACCAAAGTACAAATGGCTATAGTTTATTAATGTGGTTGCGTTTTTATCCCCAATTTTAAAGGGAATGAGATGCAACCTGCCTCAACTAGTTTGGTTTTAGGATTGTTTAGATTGATTTTGGTTGAAATAAGTGGACTTGTGAGTCGGTTTATGATATAAGATTAGTTTGGATGTAATAGAACCAACTCTACTTTTGTTCTACTTTTGTTTCAGTTGTTTATGCATGCCTCTTTTAATATCATTTAACTTAGTGGCTCTTCTCAACTTCTTTATCTCCAGCAAAATTTTCAAAAAATATTGATTCAAATCTGTTGTCAGACTATTTTACTTATTTATTATTGATTTGTGTGTTCTAACCAACTTAGTGATTTGTGCGTTCTAACAAAAAATATTGATTCATGTCTCTTTTAGTGCATTTTGACTTATCTCTTGCATTTAAGACTATGATATTTGATTATTTTAAGAGTTTCCCAATACTGAATAATGTAGTGTAGGATGGATTAGTTTTTGTAATATGTAATTTAGCATGGAGACTACTATTTGTTATTTGTTTGGTGAAACTAAATAAATAAATTCAGATGAAAAACCTAGGTTTATGTGCATGATGCTTTGATTGTACTATATAAAGATAGCTTGTAATATTAAAGATCTTATAAGTTTTTCTTTGTAACTGGTTTTTGATGTTCATGGATTTGCAAACTTAAGCAAACAGGTTTACCAAACAGAGCCACTTAGACAGTGACACGGTCTCTTGATCATGAGTGACACAAACCTAACTCATGAGTCCAACATTTTCTGAGAAGACCCTTTTTCACTATCTTTTATTTAAGAAATGGGAAAATGATTGACTCAAAAATTTGAACTAGCCTAACCTAAATATTATTTGATTGGATTGGTTCCATTACCTTGTGATTTGAATCGGTCAAATTTGCAATCAAAGGATTGGGTTGAGTTCAAGGTGCCTCTTAACTTGATTCACGAACACTCTTAGGATGGTTCAGAGGCTGCAGGGAGTTTTAGGGGAGTTTCTTCTTCATCTGCCTTTTTGTGAGCAGGGAGGAACTTGTGGAGGGTGTGAGTTTTTGAGATTTTATTGGGCTTCTCGGGTAAGTGGAATAATAGAATCTTTAGAGGGATGAAAAGAGCCCATAGTGAGGTTTGGTTTACCACTAGATTCTATGTTTCTCTTTGGGTGTCATTTTATAAGATCTTTTTTAATTATACATTTGGTCTCATTTTACTTGATTGGAATCTTTTTCTTTTGGTGGGTTCCTTTTGTGTGCTTGTTTTTTGGGTCATGTGAACTGCACTCGTTTATATTTTTACTTGGTCTAAATATTTTATTTATTATACTTGTACTAAAGAAGATTTTGACTGTCATAGGATGGGCGTAAAATCCAAGTTGGTGATTGTGCTCTTTTTAAGCCACCTCTAGATTCTCCTCCTTTTATTGGAATTATACGTTCACTTAAGTCGGACAAGGAGGCTAATTTAAGGTTAGATGTGAATTGGCTTTACCGGCCTGCTGATGTAAAACTTCCCAAAGGAATATCGTTAGATGCTGCGCCAAATGAGATCTTCTACTCATTTCATAAAGATGAGATTCCTGCCGCATCATTGCTCCATCCATGTAAAGTTGCATTCCTCCGCAAAGGTGTTGAACTTCCATCGAGCATTTCCTCATTTGTGTGCAGAAGAGTGTATGATACTGATAACAAGTGTTTATGGTGGTTAACTGATAGAGATTATATTAATGTGAGTATTTAGAGTGTCCTCCTTGATCCCACAGCTACTGAGAACCTTCTTTCCATTATTTTGTTGAATTTTCTAGTAAACACCTACTTACTCAGTCAAATTTTAATTGCAGGAACGTCAAGAAGAAGTAGATCAACTATTAGAAAAGACAAGGCTAGAAATGCATGGGGTGATGCAGTCTGGAGGCCGTTCACCAAAGCCCTTGAATGATTCAGTCCCAGTTGTGCAGCCAAAATCTGGTTCAGAAAGTGTACCAAATAGTTCCCTTCTCACTTCACACATTAAAAGCAAGAAAAGGGAACGGGGTGATCAGGGGTCTGAACCCACTAAGAGAGAGCGGTTATTTAAAGCAGAAGATGGGGAATTTAGTCAGTTTAGATCAGAAAGTATGCTAAAGAATGAGATTACAAAAATTACTGATAAAGGAGGACTTATTGACTTTGAGGGGGTTGAAAAATTTGTCAAACTTATGCAACCTAACAGTTCTGGTAAGAAAATAGATTTGGCTGACCGAATGATGCTTGCCGATGTTATAGCAGTCACTGATAGGATTGATTGTCTAGAATGGTTTTTGCAGCTCAGGGGTTTGCCTGTACTAGATGAATGGCTTCAAGAAGTTCATAAGGGAAAAATTTGTTATGCCAATGGCACAAAAGGAAGTGATAAAACTGTCGAGGATTTTCTTTTGGCTCTACTTCGTGCTCTGGATAAACTTCCCGTGAATCTCGATGCTCTTCAGACTTGTTACGTTGGCAAGTCTGTGAATCATTTACGTACACATAAGAATTCTGAAATTCAGAAGAAAGCAAGGGTTTTGGTAGATACTTGGAAGAAACGTGTGGAAGCTGAGATGGATGTTAATGATGCAAAGTCTGAATCAAGTCGTGGTGTCTCATGGCCTTCTAAATGCGAGCCTTTGGAAGTTTCTCAAGTAGGGTGCAGAAAGGCTGGGGGATCTGGTGATGATGGTTTAAAAAGCTCTACACATTCTAACATGTTTAAACATTCTCAACCTAAGTTCAGTCCCACTGAAATGGTTGTCAAATCATCTGTATCGTCAAGCACCATAAAGGTTTCTTCAACCATGGGTGTGTCATCAAAGGATTATAACTTCAAAACACTAGCTGGAAACTCAGATCTTCCCTTGACTCCGATTAAGGAGGAAAGGAGCAGCAGTTCCAGTCAGTCCCTAAACAACAGTCAATCAAGTGATCATGCAAAAACTGTGGCATCTTCATGCAAAGAAGACACTAGGAGCTCAAATTCTGGTTCAGGAAGCGTTAGCAAAGTTTCTAGTGGTGCTTCTTTTCATCGGAAATCGAGCAATGGCATTCATTTGAATACTCTCACAGGAACACAGAAAGCATCTGGTTCTGGAAAACATAATGCCGTAAGTAAGGTCTTGACTACTGACAAGGCCTCTACTACATCACGTGAGAAATCTCCAGACGCCTCTCTTGTTGAACATGGGTATGGTCGATTTGTTGTAAAGTTACCAAATACCTGTAGGAATCCTATGGGGACTTCTAGGGCTGTCACCGAAGATCAAGTTGTTTCAAGTCCCAAAGGATCTCTTCATGATGAGGCTGGTGATAACCATGATAAGAAAGCTAATGACAGATGTGAATTGCTTGGGGCTAGTTTTGGAACTGAAGCAAACTCAAACCAATGCCATAAGAAAGATCAATTTTTCATCTCAGAGGGCAAAGAGATAGCTGCCTGCGATGAACAATCCAGACTTGCCGAAGCCAATGAGCTGGAACCTGAAACTATTGCCTCATCGACTAGAATTATATCTAGGCCTGGAAAAACTTATGATGCTTCTCTAAGCTCCATAAATGCGTTGATTGAAAGCTGCGCGAAATTTTCTGAGACTAATACAGCATCATCACCAGGGGATGCTGTAGGGATGAATCTTCTTGCTAGCGTGGCTACTGGCGAAATATCTAAATCTAACAATGCATCTCCACTGGATTCTCCCCAGGAACGATCACCTTTGGCAGAGGAATCTTCTGCTGCCAATGATGGACAATTGAAAATTTTGCCTGAAGGAATAGCCAAGCATAAATGCGATGAAGCTGATGCTAATGGCGAGTCTACGGGCTGCACATCTTCTGAGCCTCTTGGCAGCAATAATTTGTTGCAGGATAGAAATGTGACCTCAGCTGACTACTCCAGAGATGGAAGAGGTATTGCATTGGGCACTTCAAGGGACTGTAATATGCCATCAAATGTGCAGCAACACATGGAAAAGACACCTTTGAAGTCTGATATAAAACCTGATGCTGAAGCATGCAATGCCTCTGTAGCTGCCTGTTCTTCATATGGTGCAGAAGAAGGTGATACAGAGATCGAGGAAAAAGTGGAGGGTGATAGCTTACCCAGCTCCTTAATGGAAGAGGGTACCCAACTCCATGAAAATGAAAAAATTGATCAAACTGATGAGAGAGCGGAAGAAAATGGAGTGATTTTGAAATCAGAAGTTACTGCCACAACACTTGAAGTGGAAAAGCAAGTGGATGAAAAGACATCTTGTTTATCTTCACAGTTGAGTGGCAGCGCTATTCAGACTCGTGGGGATTTAACTAAAGGCTGTCGAGTTGAAGAGAAACTGTCATCTACACCTGAGATTCATGCAGATTCTCGGGAGGAAAAGGTTGAGATTGCTGTGGTACTTCCTGTAGGCAATTCTTTGGATGCAGAATTCAAGGATAAAAAAGAAGATATTGTGAATTCAGAAGTTCATGTTAATCAGATTGGGAATCAAACACCGATTCTGGGTCCTCCTATGTCCGATCAGAAAGATGATTGTGCTGCGCAGGATTTGGGAAAAACAGACAACATCAATAATTGTTGTGGTGCGGTTTCTATGCACTTGGAATCTCCCGCCATCATACCCTTGCCAGAAAGTGATCAGGGTGAAAAATTAAGTACAAATACTGAGTTAATTGGAACCGAAGACCACTTCACCAGTGCTAATCCTTCACTTTCTGCTGCAAGGTCAGATACAGTGATAAAGCTGGACTTCGATTTAAATGAAGGTTGTGTTGACGATGGGATACCTGAGGAGACTAATGGAAATTCATCTGCTGTTCAGATGCCTATTCTCCCACCTTTTCCCATCCCTTCAGTATCAGAAAGTTTCCCCATTTCAATTACTGTGGCTTCTGCAGCAAAAGGATCAGTTGTTCCACCAGAAAACTCCCTAGCAAACAAAGTTGAACTTGGATGGAAGGGTTCAGCTGCTACAAGTGCTTTTCGTCGTGCAGAACCACGAAAAAATCTTGAAATGCCACTCAGTTTGAGTGATGCATCTCTTGTTACCACCACTAGCAAGGAGGGGCGCCCACCCTTGGACTTTGACCTGAATGTGCCAGACCAGAGACTCCTAGAAGAAGTTTCTTTGTCCATTGCACCGCTGAAAGCAAGTCTTGAATCAGGACCACGTGATCGAGGTGGTGGACTTGATCTCGATTTGAATAAAGTTGATGAAAGTAATGATATGGGCCCATGTTCTGTGAGCAAGAGTAGGTTGGAACTCCCCATGTCAAGTAGGCCATACGTTCCTGGTGGATTAGGCAATGGTGGATTCAGTGCCTCCAGAAACTTCGATTTGAACAATGGACCATCCCTTGATGAAATGGGGGCTGAAACAGTACCTCCTAGTCAGCAGAATAAAAGTTACATGGCATTTCCATCACTTCTCCCTGGGGTGAAGGTGAACTCCGGAGAAATTGGGAACTTCTATTCTTGGTATCCTCAGGGGAATTCGTATTCGGCAGTAACAACAATCCCATCAGTTTTGCCAGGTAGAGGAGAACAAAGTTATGTTCCTGCTGCTGTTTCTCAGAGAGTATTTGCTCCCCCGGCTGGCACCGGCTTTGCTGCTGAACTTTATCATGCACCAGTATTTTCTTCCTCTCCTGCTTTGGCATTTCCACCTACTAACTCCTTTAGTTATTCTAGGTTCCCTTTTGAAACTAGTTTTCCTCTACAATCAAACACTTTTTCAGGTTGTTCAACGTCTGACATGGAATCATCCTCTGGTTGTTCGCTTGGATTCCCTACCATAACTTCTCATTTATTAGGACCTGCTGGGGTAGTCCCTACTCCTTATCCAAGGCCCTTCATTATGAGCTATCCAAGTGGCAGTGGTACTGTTGGTCCTGAGATTGGAAAATGGGGAAGCCAGGGTTTGGATCTTAATGCCGGTCATGGGATTATAGATAAAGAAAGAATGGATGAGAAGTTGCCTTTAGCCTTGAGACAACTTTCAGTTCCCAGTCCGCAAACTTTTGCCGATGAGCAGCTAAAGATGTTTCAGATAGGTAGTCACAAGAGAAAAGAACCCGACAGTGGCTTAGATGCTGCTGACAGGCTAAACTACAAGCAACAATGAGTGAGGGTGGTAGCATTTCATCGTGGTCACAGTCACAAGTAAGTCCCGGCGAGCTTGCTCTTCCCCTGCAGTTATTACGCTGGATATTATGATGCTGAATATTTTGACACCTTCTTGTAGATCTCTTATGGATGACTTTTTCTCAAATTAAATTTGTTTTTTTCCTATTCCCGCCCCATTTAGTGCTCTAATGTGAGATTGCTAATTCTTAAAATCTTGTGCTTTGTTTGAAATGTTGGGTCCCATTTATGCTGGGGCTGTTCTCTTATCGTCCCGTTTCTAATTTTCTTACACGTAGAAGTTGTTTTTTTTTTTTTTTTTTTTAATTTTCCTTAATTATGATATTTCAATGTTATATTCCAGTTGGAGAGGTTTTCTATGGCCCATTTTCCTTTTTTATGTTTATTTATTTATTCTTTTCCCTATTTCCTATTTTTGGAAACTTCAAACTTATACTTAAAACAGAAAATTAAGAACTGAGTGATGAGTTTGCTATTAACCATGCTTTAGTTTTTTGAACTTCTTTTGCAAGTTTATGAGGCAATTACTTGTCCAAGTCTACCTTATATGATGACCTCCAATTTTTGCTTCTGTTATGGAACAGTCCATTTCGGATCTCTTTTATTGTATCTGATGTCCCTCTAGAATAAATCCCATAAAAGGCATGCATACTTCTATCTGTACCTATCTTCCATCTGAGAAAAGGATGGTGTGCGTTAAATTTGATGCCACAATGGTTCATTTTCTGTGCCTCTCAGCTTTGTTCCCCCCCTTTCATTTTGGTGTTAAACTATTCTCTTTGTTGTAATTGTTCTCTTTCTTCAAATATTGACCCTTTTTATCACTCTTTTGATAGGCCAAAAAATTAGAAACCGAGAAAAAGAACACAGTATAGATGCATCGTTGAGCAAATAATCAAGGACTGTTTATGATGGGGCTCGAGTTCCCTTTCAAATGTTGTAGCGACATCACGGGTTTTCAGGCAGCCGTTTCCCCCCCCCCCCCCCCCCCCCCCCCCCCCCCCCCCCCCCCCCCCCCCCCCCCCCCCCCCCCCCCCCCCCCCCCCCCCCCCCCCCCCCCCCCCCCCCCCCCCCCCCCCCCCCCCCCCCCCCCCCCCCCCCCCCCCNCCCCCCCCCCCCCCCCCTGCTGGACACATTTTGACAGATTTGTTTCACTCAAGCAGACAAGGTTTCATTTGTAAATATCTAACTTAATAGAAGCATAAGGAAGTTGCTATCTAGAAACCTGATGAATGGTGTCCTCCGACATGTGGACGATTTCCATCCATTCAGGTATGCTTTCGAGCCAATCCTTTCTCTCAATCCTTTGGAAACAGAACTGAATGTAATGACTTACCGAGTTGTGGCCGTCTTTCTCAACGATGCTCAGCTGTGTTTTCCCTTACACATGTAGCCATTACTTCATTCTTACTGTTAGATTCTTTTTTATTGATAGTAATACACAGGCCCCCTTTCTCTCATGGTCGTGAACTGTTTTTTCTCACTCAGTTTTTCCATTCCACCTTTACAAACCGGAAACAGGATCCCACCCCAACTTGAAGCCATCATTTTATTTGGTCTTATCTGTGACTTCTGGAGCTATCAATTCATCTGTTACAAACTAGTTTTTAATCTTTTGTGAAGAACGATGCCCCACCTAGAAGAAGACAGCTTCAGATATTTACAAAAGTTCTACACTGTCTGAATTTTGTACATTGCTAATCTTGATGTTTCACTTGTCAATGACATTCCAAGGTTTATAACATATATATATATTCTATGTTGCTTGTGAATCATTCTGTATATGATGTGATACTCAACAGGATTCTCTCTAGCTATTAATCTGCCTTTGACACTGCCATTTCTCATAAAACTTGTCTTGAACTCCTTTAATCCTTCTGGGATTTGTGCTGTCGGATGTTCTTCCAGACCCCAAATGCTCCAGTGTGAGATATTTCGAGTATCGTCTTGTTTGTGGAGGCTTTTTTTTTTCTTTCAAATTGTATCCTATGGCAGGGTTGTGATCGAAATGACCAATTGATTTTTTGTTAAGCTTGTGTTTCATTGGTGGTTCTGATGATGAACTGTGTTTATTCGCATGGTTTAAGTATATCATTACCATTCATTCATGGAATTACTAGTCCAATGTTGCCATTAGGCTAATTTTATCATGTGGCCCACAATTCACATGTAATTCATTAAGGTCTTTACGACAACTCAGACATTTGTTGCAATCACATGTTGCATGATGTCATCTTTGGCTTTGGCTGTGTGCTTTCCATGTTTACTCAGTCTTAACCTAATGTGATGGTTTCTTTAAATTTGTGTGCCCATTCTCCAATCAGATGTTTGGATATGAGTTATACTTCGTGAGGAGCCAAACGGACATATGGCTTTGCCATTTGACCTCTCTTCTCATGTGACTGGATTGTTCAGTGACAACCTATCAATTGTCACGTTTGGCTTCGGATAGGGGTTAACTTTGTAAATGTGTAGAATCATGTGTAGTGTGGTCTAGTAGTAAGCACTTCTAGACCCCTTCTCGGTTACACGGTTACAAGATGACTCTAGTGCTTTGGGTACTACGGATCCTCTTCCAGCCATTGTAGCAGAGTCATTTCATGAGCGGGGGGACTAAGCATACTCTGGCTTTTCCAAGCTACCTTTCCTACTTATGCTATGCCCCTATGGTGTAGGCCTTTTTCGCTTTCTGTATCAAGAGATTAGCTTTATTCGATGACCTATGATACAACATTCAGTTAAAATACATTCAACAACTCATCGTCCTATAACACAAAACCTGTTCTTAAGAACGGAAGAAAAGTTAATATTATGATATTTTTTAAAATTTAAGAATTAAATAGACAAATCTAAAAAAGAAAAAAAGAACAAGAAAAAAGAAAAAAAGATACATAAACAGAGTAGGAAACAATAAGTCCATTTTGGGTGGAAAATTCCTTGCGGAAAGGGAAGTTATTAGAATCTTTCAAACCCAAACAATTCATTCTCAAAATTCTCTCTCTGTTAGGCATGAGATTTTCGAATTCCCATTTGGCAGAGAAATCCCATCATAAACATCGTTCCCAGAGGGAGAGATGGGTTTGGTCTGGTCCTCTGTTATGGTCTCTCTTAGGCATCTCCGCCATTGTTTCCTTCTTCTTCTTCTCCCTCCGCTCCCCAAACCCTTCTCTTCTTCTCCGCCCCAACCTCCCAGCCCTCCAATCTATCCACGATCCAACCCCTCCAAAGGGTATCCATCCACCACTCCCATTTCTCCATTTTTTTTTTCTTCATCGTCTTCTCTGTTAGATCGTTGAATCGTGGGCTGTTTGTTTGTTTGTTGATGCAGAGAAACAGAGGTGCAATCTTTTCAAAGGGCATTGGATTAAGCAGGCCGGAGGGGCGGGCATGTACACGAATTGGAGCTGCCCCACGATCCCAGAATCGAAGAATTGCTTCAAACAGGGGAGGAAGGACACGGATTTTGTGAACTGGAGATGGAAGCCAGATGAATGCGAGCTTCCAAGGTTTGATTCCATGGCGTTTCTTCATCTTCTTCGTGGAAAGAAACTCGCCTTTATCGGCGATTCTGTTGCCAGAAACCAATTCGAATCTCTCCTCTGCTTCTTATCTCAGGTTCCATCTCTTCCTCTCTCTGTTTCTCTCTGTTTCTCTGTTTCTGGCAAATGGGTGTTCTTGATTGCTCTGATTCTTTGCATGCGTTTGATTGTGAAACGAAGCTGGAAATCTCTGTGGATTTGAATCAAATTAGAAGGAATTAGGGAATGAAATCATTATAGATTTGCTTTTGGTTGGTCTTTGTGTTCTTTGAGGAATTTTCTTTACTTGGAAAATGCTCCTCCATGGGTGAATTTTGGTGGGCTCAACATCCTTACCTTTTTTTCAACCTCTTTTTTAAAATTCTTTTTGGGAAAAAAAAAAAAAAATTGGATTTTTGTCTTGTGGGAAGCTCTAGCTCATAAAAACATGTCCCATAATTATTTTTTTTTAATGTTATTTTTATTATTATTATTATTATTTTGGAAAGAAATACATATATTTCCAAGAAATTAGTCATAAAAAAAGGGGGGGAAAATAAATTTATGATAATAAGGTGAAAACTTGGTCATACTTAGCTGCCATTTATTAAATTGCTTTATTAAATATTATGACCTTCCAAAATTAGAAGTTTATTATAATTTTTAAATTTGGCAATAAATTTCTTATAATTTATTTTCCAATATGACCTACTTCAAAATAAATTTTACTTTTTCCTAAAAAAAACTTCTCAATAATATTTAATTTTTATAATTAAATTATAGCAATAAATTAAGAAAAACAAGAAATTAAAAAAAAAAAAAACACTTCCTTAATTTCAGGGAATTGACTGCCATTAATGCCCATCAATTTAATTTTATAAAAAATAATAAAAAAATATCCTTGAAATTAAAATTAAAATTAAAAAAAGAAAAAGAAAACTAGAGACAATATGATGGTGAAAAGTAAAAAAAAAAAAAAAGATTAAAATAATAACTTTGGACCCAACCCCAAGTTAGTGTTTTCTTTAAAAGATTGATTAAGAAATAATTATCAAATATATTATTATTATTATTATTATTATTATTATTATTATTATTATTATTAAAGCATTTAATGATTAGTGTGCTAGATTTTTGTCTCAAGCTAACTTTATAATATTGTCAAACTTCTCATTTTTTTTATATAATAAAGTTCAAATATCTCTTAATCCTAAGTTTTTGTATATATGTTTCGAATATCATTGTTAGCTCATGGTTGGAGGAGTTTACTTTTACGGGTATTGATTCTTCTAAATATTTCTTAGTCGAGTAGCGTTAAGATTCTGGGGATAGCTTTTGAACTCATAAAGTTGTTTTGCAGGTAGAAACTCCACAAGATGTTTATAAAGACTCTGAGGATAGGTTTAGAACGTGGTATTTTCCAAAAAGTGACCTAACCCTTATCATGCTTTGGACTAAATTCCTCGTGGCCGGAGAAGAGAGGGTTGTGAATGGAACGGGAACGGGCGTTTTTGACCTACAATTCAATGAGATTGATAAGAGTTGGACGCAACACTTACCCGAAATTGACTACGCGATTCTCTCTAACGGGCATTGGTTTTTTCGAGTGTTGTACTTGCATGAAGGAAACAACATTCCCAATTGCATCTATTGCAGCGATCCAAATATCACGAGTCACAATCCTGACTTTGCGTTGAGAATGGTTTTTCGAGCGGCTTTTAAGTACATCAACGATTGTAAGAATTGTGGTAAGTTGGTGACATTTGTGAGGACGTTCTCGCCTGCCCATTTCGAAAATGGGGTTTGGAACACGGGTGGCTATTGCAATAGAACAGGTCCGTCGAGTGCGAAGGTGATCGACCAAGAGAGCTTTGATTGGAAGCTGAGGGATATTCAGATAGAAGAGACGGCAAAGGCGAAACTAGAGGGGATGGGGAAAGGGAAGAGATTCGAGGTGATCGACGTGACAATGGCTATGACGATGAGAGCGGACGGGCACCCGGGGGAGTTTTGGGGCAACAAATGGATGAAGGGTTACAATGACTGTGTGCATTGGTGCATGCCAGGCCCCATTGATGCTTGGAATGAGCTTTTGATGGCAGTTATAAGGAAGGAGGAGGCTGCTATGGATTCATAACAATTATTCCAAATAATTTCATTAATGTTTCCCAATTTTCATTTTTGAAATGTGGCTGAGAGTATACAAATATAATAATATATTCATTGAGTTTCATTATATTTTGTAATTTTCTAAAATAAATAAAGAAAAATAAATTATAAATTACGCTCGGGTTCTCCAAAGACCATATGAAAGCTAAGTTCAAATTACTATTTTTTATTAGTAGGAATGTTCGTGAGTTGAGTTTGATGTGGGTTGCGATCTTCGACGGGAAGGTTTGGACGTGTGTTGCTCTAGGGATAACAAGCTAATCTTTCCCAAGATCTCACATCGACGGAAAGGTTTGGCATCTCGATGTTGGCTCTTCGCCACCTGGGCCTGTAGTATGTTCCAAGGGTTGGGTTGTTCGCCCATTAAAGCGGTACGTGAGTTGGGTTCAGAACGTCGTGAGACAGTTCGGTCCATATCCGGCGTGGACGTTAGAGCATTGAGATGACTTTTCCCTAGTACAAGAGGATCAGGAAGGGCGCACCACTAGTGTACCAGTTATTGTGCCCACAGTAAACGTTGGATAGCCAAGTGCGGAGCGGATAACTGCTGAAAGCATCTAAATAGGACATTTTTTATACTCAACCCAATCGTTCAGTAATATATATTTTTGTTTACTATACAATTATATATATTTTATTTTTATCTCTTCTAAATAATTTTTAACTACTTAACCTCTATTGGATGAAGCAACCATATAACTGACGATATTGATTTAGTAGCGAGACCCCTTACACTAGCCCGGGCATCATCGCTGTCTTAGCGCGAACAGTCTGTAGCCACGCCAATCTCAAGTTTTAGATCGAACTCATCCATTGACACAACTAGTTCAGGGGAGAAAATTGAGTGATTTGGGGCTAAGACAACGAGTTTGATTGAATTTAACCCGATATAGTTTTAGGGGAACCCATAAACTTCCAATTCATAAAATTTTCATTTATTTGAATCCCGACCAAAAAATAAAAAAAAACCAACTCATACCGTATAAGTTAAGGTTGGGTTGATCGAATTTTGTCAGATTATTGAATTTTTTGAACATTCCTATTTACATTTTTACATAGACTAAAAATTATTTTAAACATGAAAT